TGTCAAGATCAGAAAAATACAATTGTGTGATCATTCGTGAACAAAATGTTTTTATTAGCTTTATGGCCTGAGATATCAGACACCCCGTATAAACTATTTCATTATGTGACCTGAAAATCACATATTTAATTTACTTGGGGGTGCGCTTTAAAAATTTCATTTAAAATGTTTTTAACTTTTTCTTAAACCCACTGTGTAACTATTGGCAGAAATTGAATATAATATGCCTAGTTATGTTTTCATTAGTGCATAATCACCTGAAAACAGGAGTTTTTGTTACCTTAGAACAAGCCTTTTATGTCTACAGATGCCACAGGTAGCTTTCCACACAGGCCGCTATGTTTAAGTCCCATGTTTCTACTGTAGCTAAAAATGGACAAACCAAACACTGGCTCTAGATTGGGGCGTTTGTGTTTTCTGCGCATTTTGCAGCCACTGTAGTTTCTCCTCCGCGCTTGGAAGGGGAGGGTATAGCGAGGGAGTTAAAATCTGCAACTACACCTCTAGACGCCATTAAATCCTACATACTGGTCCCTTAACATTTCAAACAACAATAATAGTTTATTTATAGAGCACATTTTCAAGAAAAAAAAACACAAAGTACTTTACAGGGTAGAGATGATGACAAGATGTATGCAGCAGTAACAGAGCTGCAGGAGATAAAGCTGTAATTTACTCTGTCCCACTGTAGCTTCCTAACTCTAATGGTCTCTGCTCATTTCTGTGCTCCTCCCTTTGCAGGACAGGCTGGTTTGGTACTGTAGTGGAATATGGAGCTGAGAGGAAGATCAGCCGACACAGTGTCCTGTCAGCCACTGTCAGCATCGGGGTCCCTCAGGGAGTCACACTCAAGATCAAGTACTGGCCAACCCAAAATATGATCTCATTCTCCTGTGTTTCCCTGCATAATTATCTGATGTATGTCTCTCTCTCTGTGTGTGTGTGTGTGTGTGTGTGTGTGTGTGTGTGTGTGTGTGTGTGTGTGTGTATTTCTGCTGGTGTTTCCATGCAGGTTGGCGCGGGCCAGTCAAACATACCTGTTTCCAGTCCACCTGACCGATCAGCTGCTGCCCAGTGCCGTCTTCTATGCCACTGTAGGACCCCTGCTGCTTTACATGGCCATCCATAGACTGGTCATCATCCCATATACACAAGCACAGAAAGAGCAGTTAGTACACCTCCCGTCCTCATAACCTCACATGTTAATCTGTTCATTTTAACATAACTTTTTGTTTGTATGATGTATAGTTTGATTGGGAAACGTCATATCCATCAGCCGAAGGCAACTACACGGCCCTGACTTGGGCAGAAATGCAACATTTTGGTCATGGTCGTTACTGGGTTACTGGTTGTATACTATCAGGGTGTCTTTCACACTTACACTGTCATCATAGAGAGCCTCCGCAGTGAATCCCAGTGGGTGATTGTTGATGTCTGCTCTGTGTGTGTCTCTGTGCTTTTCAGAGAGCTGGAGCTGCAGAGGAAGAGCTCTGCCACAGACATTGCCAAGAAGAAGCAGGAGGCTGAGTCTGCTGTGAGTACTCGCACTCACATGCAAACACACAGTGATCCGTTGTGTGTGGGGGACCATTGATCATTGTTTCTAGCTTCGGCTCTCCTCATCTTGTCTGAAAACCTCTCTCCTATCCTATTCTATTTTGTTCTCCTCCACCCCTCCTCCTCCTCCTCATTTTTCTCCCTCGGCTCCTCTGCAGGTTCTGCTGATGCAGGAGTCTGTGAGGAGAATCATAGAAGCGGAAGAATCCAAGATGGGTGAGGGCACACACACACACACACACACACACACACACACACACACACACACACACACACACACACACACACACACACACACACACAGACGTTACAACAGGGTGAGACACTGTGAACTTTTTTTTAGTTTGCAGCCAGCAGTCAAAACTTGGTAAAAATCCAAGTGTGTAATTCAAACACATATCTCAGGATTGCTGTTAACTGTAGTAATATACTGTAGCTCCAGGACTCTGTTTTCCTTAGTTTCTCTTCCATCATCTACCACTGTGAACCAAGTGGTGATGTAGCCCATTTCCCTTCTGCAGTGTTTACGTAGGTTAAGCTTGTAAATCTGTGCACAGAACTCCAGAGTGTACACGGGCATAAATCAAAACTATGATTTCAGCGTGCTAATGGATTTCCTGTTATACTAGTATAAAGGGAGCATCTGATTATTTGTCAATCACTCTATGAGCTTTGTTTACAGCACCTCCTAACACCTAGAGTAACATGAAAGTACTTGTCTGTCTAGGCCTGATCATCCTGAATGCTTGGTATGGAAAGTTTGTGTCAGACACCAGCCAGAAGCAAGAGAAAGCAAAGGTCATTGACGTCACTGTGCCTCTGCAGTGCCTTGTCAAGGACTCCAAACTCATCCTCACCGAGTCCTCTAAGGTGTGTGTGTGTGTTAATGTATCACTGCGTCCTTTTGATTATCCACAAATCCGTATGCATGTGTATGAATCGTTTCTCTGTGTGCAGGCAGGGTTGCCGGGCTTCTATGACCCCTGTGTAGGAGAGGAGAAGAGTCTTAAATTACTGTACCAGTTCAGGGGTGTCATGCACCAAGTCATCTCTGCAGACATCGAGTCGCTACGGATACCCAAGCAATGTTAGTATGCAGACCAAGTGCTGTTACACTGTAGCTGTTCACTAATTACAACATGACTAAAGTCTGCAGTATATGCATGCATCCATGTTCCATTTATTTTGTCTTACAGCTCACAGAATTGAGTCTGAGTCTTAGGAGCCCACCGCAGTTGGAGCACCAGAGGGCAAATGCAGATAAAAACAGACTTTGTGTAAACAGAAGAACCCAAGAACGGAGGGGGACGCATCAACAATAAGTCTGTTTCTCTCCTCTGGTCCTCTTCTGTCATGGTATTAGTGAATCTGTTTATCGAGTTCCTCCACTCCTCCCTTTCCTGTGGGCCATCTCCGCGGTTCAGCAGAATACAGGAGTCAGCTCAGAGTTTCTACAAGGTGTCATCCTTTGTGTCTCTAGTCTGCCAAACTTGACAGGGCTGCTCAAATATCTGCCGACTGCAGGAGATCAGACATTGGCCCTGAACATAGTTTTTATATATGCACTACACAGAGGGGACTGATGGTCCCATCAATAATGAGCTAAAAGTGATAAATTTAAAGATGTGTATTGACATTTGTTATGTCAGTTATATACAAATGAGCTGTAGTATCACTCCATATAATTGTAGTTTCTGTCCTGTGTATCACCCCTGGTAGGTTTTAATCTAATAATGTTATAACATACTGTATCATTTCACTAACTCGTGCAAATGTTTCGAGTAACACTATGCAGGATTGTGTCTTGGCGACCCTTAGACTGGCCAGGACTTGAGGATTGATGTGTAACTCATGTTTATGTTTACTTGTTAAAATGTCTCATCCTAATCTATCATGCCTTTTAGTGACATGTCTGCTGCTCATGGGGGTGCCAGTCAGCAGGTGAAAACTGGTGCTCAAAACTTATATCTGTGAGGGTGTTGGTGATATAGAAGTTGGCGAAGGGAAAGTAATAGAGATGCCCTTTGATCCAGCCACGAAGAGACAGGCTTGAATTCTTCATACAGATTTCTTTATATTTCAGGCTAGACTGCAGTTTAAAGGCAGAAATTCCACTTAGATTTTATTTGCGTCAGTCTTTATTGATTAACTGTGCAGTGGCAGCAGAAACAGAATTTTTGACAATGATTTTTAATACAGTGAAGGTTATAGTTTATATTTCAATCGAGTACATTCAGCACTGAGCCCTAGTTTATGGTTGGGATGCGACCAGTAGAGGGCGTAGGTCAACGCTTTCCGTGAAGGTCGTGTTTGCTGCTGACTAACTTATTATTAGAGCTGACCTGAGCCACACTAAAACCATTTTACTGATTATGGCACATTTACACAGCTGGATTTATTTGTGTGACTCTGTTTTAATTTGCAGTCCTCTGTCCCTCTTTGTTAAATTTTAAAGTATTTAATTAATCTGCAAATGCCATGTTACTACTTTTTCTACATGGTAATGCATGCTAAATCCATCTTGGCAGTCGAGGTGGTAATCCACACACTAATTTACCTCTGCTGTTGCCATCAGAGAGGTGAGGTTGACATGGGGAAGAGTAAAATATCCTATGATGCACTTTCTGTTCAGATATAGATAGAAGTCCCAAAGTTTTTATTATAAAATGCACATTACATCTATAAACCCCTACTCCTAACCCCAATCTGTCTGTGTCAGTAGTAGTAAAGTTGGATTGAAACTGTAACCACAAAGGGAAATGCGAATGAGCCAGTGTACATTATGTCTGTCATGGGCTGCTGGGAATCCTTGAAAACACTATCAAAACCACTACTGTAGGATACGAATGGTATTTTATTGAATACAAAGGTAATATTTTGCACACAATGTACAGTATTTCAAACAAATATTAGGTCAGTTGTCATGAAAGTGGCGAAGCCTCTAATTGAAGCTATACACTGTTACTGTGTTCGGGGCGACTCTAAACGGTGCCCTCCTTTTGATTCATTTAGGTTTTGCCATTGCTGTGATTGACCTGAAGGTGTGGGTAGACTCAAATGAAAACAGGACTGAGATAGATGTTTCAGTATTTAGTCAGAGGGCTGTCTGTCTCTACAGTGAGATCCAGTGGTCTAACGTTAGGGTCACTATCACAGCAGCCATTTTGCACTGGTTCTATTTGTACTCTTTTGTTTTAAGTGTGATGTAAAAGTATTTTGACAGGTCAGCTGTTCACCTCTGCTCCAGTGCCACCATGAGGCCAGCAGAAAGACTGCTCCCTGCTGTTACACCCCAGCCCATCATCCACACTGACTCACATTAGTATGTAAATGTACTGTATGGTTCAGGAGCCTGTGTTCTGTCCTGTAAAGACTACAATAAATATGAAACAATCAAACTCTTGTTTGATGTTTGTGATACAAAAAGACAAAAAGCAAAGACAAAAATGGTAACTCTTTATTTACAATAGTTTACAATAGTTTCACAGAAACAGTTTGCACCACAGTACAGACAACGCTTTCTCAATAAGGGGATAGGACAACCCAGGATCGAGCTGTATCACAATGAGCTTTGTTAACATTAATTACACTAATGTCTTAAAGACGCTGACTAAAACTGGAAATTTGTGCCTGAAGGTGTCTTCAGGTTCTCTTCAAGACATGAATGTCCTGAGAAACGGCAAATGATTTTAGGTCTTGAAACTTCTTAAAAACCATCACCTGGGTGTTCACTGGGTACGAACCAGTTAACCAACATTTGTAAATACCAGAAGACAAGAGTGCAGAGATGAGCTTAACCACTTTAAACTCTTGGAAAGTCTTGTGTTCTTTACAAACCAAACATTCATTTGTGTGTGTGTTAGTCGTTCCCTGGTCAAGTCATTGATTCTGCATTGGAAAACCTCATCCTGGACTAAATATCCAAGGCTCTGAGTCTAAAATCTGTCACTCTACAGTATGGCTTTTATATAATCTGAAACAACAGCAGATGGCACATGAATAACAAAGCTTAAAATCTTTCATCCAAATTGCAAGTTCTATGGAAAAGGTTCCCTAAAAAAAACAAAAACATGTTTTCCATTAAACCCTGCGTTATCTGGAAGCAACTGAATACTGCTGTGAAAACATTAGTGAGAAGTGATAAGAGACGGAGATCTGTTCTTCTGATCTGACCCTTCAGAGACAAAAAAAAAAAACTTTGCAGATGTCCATTTCTCCATCTTACAAAAGACCAAAAACTGTGGAGCTTAGCTGAGACAACTCATAGCAGCACATGCATTGCCAACACCCTCGTTCAGTTTTATCCATTCAAACAAACACACACACATGCATAATTTAAACTGGACTCTTGAGAGAATATTTCCAACAACACTATTCCAGTTAAGATAGCTTTTTATCTGTTGATACTTAAACAGGACGGCTATAGGAGTTCCCTTCTATAAATATAATTTGTCTCTGAAAACTTTATCATGAGCTTGAAACAGTTCTGAAACAGAAAGAAAAAAGGAAAATTTAAATAATGGTTTGGAAAATGTAAGTATTCGTTAACAATACCACTGTTCAATCCTGTCATGAAATGCAGCAAAAACACTGACCGGATGCAACAGAAAACACATTTACTGAAAACCAGTTGACAACTCTCATGTTATCTAAGTCTTGACAGTTATGTGGCTTTTTAAATCTGTGAAATAAGTTATTTACTATGAAAAACCTCTGCAGAAACAGAATGAAATAAGCAAAATTAGAACAACGTTTAAACGTTTTTGAAAAGTGTGTGAAAGCTCCACATGTCGCCAAGTAACATCTTGATTCAGAGGAGTAGCCGAGGCTGGAAGACAGTTTGTGAAGTAGGAGGAAGAGTAATGAACGCTTGGTTCAGCTGTACAGGCTTAAAGCCTCAGTGATATTTTCACAATGTCTTAAATGACAAAACAGAACAACAAACAGATGAAGCAGATGCAGACTCTATTCTCTTATCCTACATCTTTGTTCTATTGGATTATACCTCAGCTTAATACTATAGCACCATCTGAAGCAATTAACACAAGGCGTATCATGTTTTCTCATTTAAACGGTTAATTGTGTAACATTAATAGAGGCATCTAAGAGAAATCAAATCCAGTTTAATCAGAAAGACATATCTGTCCCTAAAACAGAAAGGTCAGATCGATTTTTTTTTTTTTACAAAAGTGAGAAAAGTGCAAACTGTCTTTCCCACAAATCCCAGCATGCACCATAGTGGGTGGCAGTTGTGTTCTCTTTATATGGCAGTTCAAACGTTTCCAGTGTTCACGAGACACCGAGTCCCAACAGTAGAGGTTTGCTAATGCTAATGTCATCTACAGACCATTCAGTGATTGCCTTACGCACGAAGTCTGTAGGGAAGCAGACACAAAACTTAGTAAATCTAAAATAGCACTCAAACTGTTTTCAAATGGGATAAAGGCTTGGGATAGGTCCACCAAAATGTTTATACAAAATGTGGGTTCTTGGCTGACCACGCAGGACAGAGACTGACGGGTGCAAGACCTGAATTTGAGGAAGGGTCAGCCCAGCAGGTGGAGGGGCAGCAGGAGTGGAAGGGGTTCAGAGTTCAGGGTTTGGCCTGGGGGTCAGTCTAGCAGGTGTTTGCTGGGGGCTACACGTGAGCGATGGGAGCGACGGGTATCTGGCGTTCCGTGTGTCTCTCGGCAGCTCTGGCACACATATGTCTCTGGCACGTGGCTCTTGCGGATCTTCGCGCACGACAGGTGGATCCAGGTGTTACACTTGTTACACTCGATCATGGCCCGGCCTGCAAAAGGCTTCATGCAGAAACACGTCACCAGGTCCCACGAGTCGTCGTCTGAGGAAGTCAAGAGAGAGCGTACACCCAGTTAGGCTTCTTCACAAACTTTTAACAGTGTAATGTATGCACCAATAAGAATCCTTACCTGAGTCTACCATGATGTCTTCATCCTCTCCTGAGCCATCTTCGTCTCTGAACACCACCTGTTTCCCCTGGCGGAACACCTTCCTGTTTCCTGAAAAGCCCTCCACCTTCTGTACTTTTACCACCCCTTCTTCAAGGTCTTGACCATCCCAATGTCGACGCTCCTCCTTGGGCTCCTCCTTGCAGGGGGCGGGGCTAGGCAGATGCTGGGGGTGGAGGGGAATGCTGATATCGTCTTCTGGCTCTTCTTTGATCGTTCGGCCACCAAAGGAGACGGGGTACTGCAGCTCTGGGACTGTTGAGTGGGCCTGCTGAACCTCACTTTCCTCCCCGGCTGAATGCTCCCTTTCCTTTCTCCTTTTCTTCTTCTTCAGCTTGTCAGCTTTCCTGCGGTCATCTGGGTGCAGGGTGGTGATTGTGTGCTGCAGACGAGGAAAACAAAGCACAGATGTCAAAAAGGGATGAAGGTGAACATACAAGACTAATGCTGTGACATCAATTCAACTCACATCTTTCTTGGTGTGACTGGACAGCGGGGCTCCTGGCTGTGGGCGCTTCCTGTTCCTGTCCTGGGGGACCTTTGGAGGGCGCTGGGGGCAGGAGGTTGGGGGTCCTGGGGTCCAGCCATCACTGTCAGCTGTGCTGCCTGTACTGTTGGGGGGGCTGGAACTACTGCGCAGAGGAGAGTCCTGTAACAATAAATGGAGAAGTGAATGCAAACTCACATCAGGAGACAAAGGTGATTGAAAGATTCAAAATATGTCTGACAATTCTTTGCTAACATTCATGCACTCAACAATAAAATGACTATCTTATTGTGATGTATTATTTATGATTTTCAATCAACACATTGACATCGTACCAAGGATTAGCATAACATGCTGTGCTAGTTTAGAGATCTGTGTGTGGGTAAGGTGCAGCTTCAGATTAGATTTGGCTATATTGGCATTGGTTATAAACTGAATGAGTGTCACTGTATCGTAGGAACTTCAGAAATTCCCTTGTGTAACAACGCAGCAAAGGTGGTTTTATGAATCACTTTTAAAGAGCGACCCGTAATGAAACTGTAGGCTTAAGTACTGTCATGACAGCTTGAATGAATCATTTATCATATTACATTGTTCAATTTTAGACCTCTATGAGCTCTCATTCATAAGTGACAACAATTTTGCAGTATTTCAATCAAGATGTTATTTGAGTATCAACAAATGCACCATGTGTCTACTGTACATTTGATCTTGTATGTATATATATATATATCTGGAGTGTTGTAACGAAAATAATTTCCCCCTGGGATTATTAAAGTATTTCTGATTCTGATTCTGACAAAAAGTGTACAGGCAGAGGGGGTGGAAATGAAAACAAAGCTAGTACGTGTTAGAAAGAAACAGAAGAGCAACGTGGTGAAGGGAAAAAAAACCTTGAAGAAACAACCACAACTAGAACGAAATGAGTCAGAATCTAGTAGTCCTACCACTGAGGCTGAGGAAATAAAATGTGTCCAACGCGAGTTCTGACAAAAGAAATTGTGCTCGCACTGCAAAAGAGCGTATCACGCTTTGTTTTTGGTTTCAAAGAAAATGACAACATCAAATTTTCAAGCTGTGTTTTGCGAAACTGAGACTATCACCACAATTTTAGTAACTAAGCTACAAAGGTCACGGAAACCTTACCAGAATATCCCTGCCACCTAGAGGGTCTCCCCTGTTGGAGTTTGGATGGTGTGTGTAACAACAGACAGTGGATCCAACACTGTAAAGCCTCCCTTGATAACAGGACACGGGTTTAGTGTTTTGGCCAGTGAAAGTGATTGTTTTTATCACTATGCTTTTATTAAAACCATTGTTTTCAACCATGATAAATTGTGTAAGAGAATGGGTATGAATACAGAAATGTCAGACAGCAAACTAGACAGGAGGCCATGAAGTCATTTGTTACACTAATAACAGTCAAAACTGAAATCTTGTATGCAAAAGTCTATTCTAACCATGTGAATGGTAAGAAAAGGCTATGGTTAATTCTTAACAGAGGGCGTGCTGAAACTAAATAAACGCTCTGAGCCAGAGAAACTACAGAGACAAAAGACTCTGTTTAAGATAATCTCATTGTCTGGCTATCTCACTCCCCGTCCCCCAACACAAGACGCAATTCAATGAGCATAACAGAGTCTCATATCCAATTTGCCACAGTTCCAAGATTTTAAAATGATAAGCGACTTACTTGTTAAGACAGTTTGCCAACAGTTTCACTACATCTTTCCAGTCAATGACTTGCAACAACACAAAGTCTAGACTGCTCAATTTCAATCACAACAGATAAGCAGGACTTTTTTTTTTTTTTTTTTACATCCATCTAGTCAGTTAAAATCTCCTTCAAGTCATAAACATACTCTTCCATATAAAACCATCCAGTTATTTTCTCAGGTGCTCAAACTGTTGTAAATGTATTGTCTGCATTACTTTATCACAGACATTTTGACGACACTGTCGGTTTTTAAGTGTAGATTCTGTTATTCACTGTATCTGTGTTTACATTTGATTGCATTAACATTTAAATACACATTTTAAAACGCGCCCAACGACATAGGCGCTTTAGTGAAGATGTGTTTACAGACACTGACCGCCTCATTTACTCACCTCTTGGGGGTAAGGGATGTAGCCGGCATAGGCCAAGACAAAAGTGCAAAACTTGTTAAAATCCTCTACTGTTCTCCTCCTCCTGTACGGCGGACTGAAGCCCTGAAACACAGACACGTCGTTGAAACATTAGCTGCATCAAACATAAACCTCCCGACATGGCGTTGATCGGCACACAACCACAACGTTACTCTGTAAAGTGCCACTCAGCGTTGGCTCGATGCGACCAAACAACAACTGAACGAAACTAAGTTAAAAATAAACATGTTGACAAACGTAGCTCAAAGTTTCATTAATCACATGAACACATTTCTCTCTGGACTCGTCACTGAACCTTTCTACCAACCCCCACCGATTAACCCGAGACAGCTAACGTTAGCTAGGTCTGCTAGCAGTAGACAGCAAATAACGTTAAGTAACTCATGCTAAAGAGCTAGCTGCTGGCTAATGCTGTTTAACTAGCAAACAAAACTATGAAGCCGTGTATTAATTATAACTGAAGACAACAAACAAGAGTCACCGAGAGCCATAAAAGCATCAATGTTATCCAACTTTTACCTGACGGTGAACGCAGACTGTGATTATGATGGTTAAACGTATTCAGCTAATGTTAATGTTAGCATGCCGATTACGCTAGCTGTAATTAAGTGACATTAATGACTCGTACACAATGTTTTAGTAGTGAACGGTGACAGTTTTAACCAAGCTTGTCCGGATACTCACCGTGTGTGAACTTATGTTAGTCAATCTCTGCACCCGCAGCTAACATTATGTCAACATTAGCACGGAAAGCTAACGCTAACTAATTAGCGGCTGCTACATCGTGTGGTGACAACCTCGAACAACTATCGTCGTGAGCCATGACTGCAGACTACTCACTGTAAGACACAACACACTCACCTCCGACTGAAATGCATGAGATGTCGATGGGTTAATGTCACCCATCGTCACTAAGTAGCCGACCACCTGGCGAGTTGTCGATAAGGTGACAGGCTAACGCTGCAGCGCCGGGCTCCTCGATACGACTGTAAACACTGGGCTTACCTCAGCTGCTGCTTGCTGGATACACAACAACCTTGTAGCTAACGTCAACGTTACTTGTGCTAAAACTCGAAGCAACAGTGTTCACTCAGTTGGCCATCAGCACCGACGATAACGTTACTTGGACTACAGCCGGTAAACAACCGGTAAACAGCCGGTAAACAACCGGTTAGCTGAGCGGGTCAAAGTTGTAAAACGTGCCTCCCGTGAACAGTGATCGTTAGAAATCGTTACTACTGTATTTCCACCGAGCTGTCCGGTAATGTCTCCGTTTGATCCCGTTCAGTGACTGCTGGGGGAGCGGTTCACTTTGGCTGTCACCAGCCCCTCCTTCTTCTTCATGGCTACAGCAGCGAGTGAACACACTGGGGCATTACCGCCCTCTGTTGGTCGTCGTCTGAACATTTAAAGGTCGCTCAATATTTCTCCCTTTAGATGATGAGTGTGAAAACAGCCTTGTGGCATTGGTGGTGTAGAGGAACTTCCAGTGGAGGAAACATGATAAAGTGCAAAAAGTTCCCTTGAAAACTCTCTGTATTTTATTTCTTTACATTTCATGAGTTAATGGTTTTTATAAAGCCATTGACCAGTGCTGGATTTCCCACTGTCTCAAAGCCCTTCCCTTCCTGAAAGCTCCAGGTTCATTGTACGTCTTTTAGTGTCCTGTACAATTTGAATGAACACTTGCTTTTAGATTAGAAACCACTAAATTACAAGATCAGATGAACTGACCTCTTGCATCTTGTTGAGCAGCCCCCCGTTATTACTTGAATATAACTCGATAACTTTGTCTTTAATTTGTTTGTGTGAAGAAAACTGAGTACTGCATAGAGAGGAGGGTAATGCAGGGGTTAATGGGGGGCTCCCCAAACATGCCATCAGCTTGTTCTTTTATCCTTTAGTTTGTGCTGGATGAAATTCTTGTTTTCAGTTTTGCAATAATATGTCAACACATTTTTTCAAAGCTCCATAATTTATTCAGCAAATCATCCAATTTTACTCCCACGTGTGTTGGTGTAAAGAAAACCTGTAAAAAGATCAAATAGACAGGTGGAGCTCTATATAAAGTGTAGAGCATTAAAATCAAACATGGTGGACTCTCTGAGCGACTCTATTTCAGATGATAGTGAATGTGCATACACTGCCACTTCAAAGACCTCATCTCTTCAGTCTACTGTAATTTCAACATCGCTAACCAACAAAAGACCTGTCAGTAATGATGTTCCCAATGTAAAAATAAAATATTGACGAATGCAACTCCAACTTTGTTACTGATATATATCTGTAAAATAAGTATGAGTTTCACTGACGGTAACTTAATGGTTGTTTTTTTTTAACTTGTCACATAAAATGCAAACAAATCAATTAAAGTTTTGGTATTTTTGTAAAATATTCCATGGAAATAAAATTCTTTAAAGCTGTACTGAAGGTTCATTCATTTCCAGTAGACGTCAAATCTAATATAAAATACAATGAGAATTATTTAAAACAAATGTTCAGATGATTATTTTTGTTTTGATCTACTCATACATTTGTTTTATTGCTATCATTATTGTTTTTACACATTTTATTTCATTATAAATGGAATTGAACTTCTGGTGTGTGTTGACACAATATTGTAATGCCTGTATTACTACAGCACAACATATACAATATACCACAGACGTGGTTATAAAGCATTATGTTGATTTATATCTAACAGTCCTGTTTCACAGTGGCCAGTCAGACATGAAATAATAGATATAGAGATAAACACAGGCATTGCCAATGATACTATGTAAGAGTCTGTAGCATTTAGTGCAGCAGAGTCCTTCCAATGAGCCAACTAATAAGTAACTAATGGAACTTAAACAGTCTCTTAAGAAATATCCTTGGTAACACCTTTATTTATCGATCACCATGAAGAGGGCGCTAATGAGACAAGAAGACTTTCTTTATTATTATTCTTTAAATGTATTTATTTATTTATATTATGATGTAAAGTAGCTTCATATCACTAACACAACTCATATTGCTCACATTTTAACATTAACACAGTCTTCATGCTCCGGTACAGTAGGTGGCGGTAGTCATGGTTGCACGGTTCCGCCATTAAAGTCAACGAAGAAGAAGACCTTCACAACGGAAGTGCCGTTTTTTCTCGTTCCGGTTGCTGGGCGCGTATTTCGCAGTAGTCGAGGAGGACAAAACTCAAAGTATTTGTGGTGTAACATTAACAAAGTGTTCAATATGTCGACCACGAAACACCAGAACTTCCGGAGCTTTCTAACCGAGCGGTTTACAGCCGTTGCCGTGGAGATATTCGGAGAGGTTGAAAGTATTGTGGAGGCGTTTTACGAAGAAAACAAACGTCTGAGGAACACGCTTCACATGGTGCTCAGTCCCGAGATAAAGTTACCCAGGATAGGTCGGTCACTTTTGTTTAACACATTTAGTTACTACAACTCAACATGAGGTGGTAATGACACGAAGGCAAAGTTATTGTGTCTCTGCTTCCACCTGGAAATGGGCTAGCAAACTAAAACAAACATAAACAACATAATGAGAAGTAAACAGTGTCAAACTAACTTTAACAGTCTTTTATTTTATGTCTGAAGTGTTTGTTTATGTGTGAGTTAAAAAACAACAACATCCACTTCAGTCTGTCCAATACGATGCTACATGTAAATGTAGTTTGTAAGTTAACTTCCATCTGATTTAGTGTTGTATACAGGCTGTGCTGTGGTCTTAAACTTAACACTGTTATAACACATTAGCAATAACATATCTACTCAAGTACAGTGTTGACGTGATTGTACTTTATTTGACTATTCCTATTTTATCCTATTTAATACTTACTTTTGAAAGGAGACATTGTTTATTCATGACCAATGAAAATACTGTAGACTGAACTCTGGAAAAACAAAAGCATCAAGATAAAAACATGAAACATACGGAGTGTAAATCTCTGGTTATTATCAAATAAAGTGCATAAAGCAAAATTAAAAGACAAAACGTACTCTGTTTTAGAGCTATAGTTACTTTGCAGACTTAGATTTTACTAAACAAAATTCATAAAACTGAACTATCGAACAGCCACAACATTAAAATGCCTAAGTATTATTGAGTAAACTATTATAATCTGTCGATGTAATATAAATATCCCTCTAATAGTTTTTACTAGCAAAATTGTTTTCCAGTGTACAGAAAGAATTACAGATTTAAGGGTCCAACACTGTACTGCTATACACTTTTTATACTCAAAATTACAGATAAAAATGTTTAGTTGGTAAATATTGGTGTTTTTCTTTTCCCCCTCAATAGATGTTAGTCGACACACTGCAGTAACCACAGATGTCAGAAAGCAGCCTGCTGAGTTCAACGCTGGGGTGAGCCAGGAAACATCAGAGCCGTTGCCTAAAATACCTAAACAAGAGCAAACTGAATATGACATAAATCTGGGATCAGAACAACAACAAAGTCTGGGGGAAGCTGATAATGTCATTACTACAGTTTGTGTGAAAAATGAACCAAAAGAAGAAGAAGAAGAAGACTTCAGCACTGACTCGTACCACATCCAAGTGGTGGAGTGGAACCCCGACTCTCCAGCCACTGTCTCGGCTGATGAAGTGCATGATCAAGGAAGTGAAGAAAGCTCAAATGAAAACCAGGAACACCCAAAACATTATAGAAAGGCAACAAAAAAGGTAAGCTTGTTTTTTGATTCCCTAGCAAAACCAAAGATCCAAAGCAATTGATGAAGAAATCTGACTGTGACAGCCTGGAGAAGCTTTGTGATTAGACATGGGACAATATGATACTATATGATATTGATACTTTTAAAATGGCACAACAATCACCTCACCTCACATTTTGTTAAGAAACAAATTTATTTATTGCATCAAATATACACACATCATCTCCCTGTCCTTTATTTTAGAAATCTATATTATTTCCACACATCCCGTTTACATTGGGGGTACAGCAGACAACCCATGGTGAGAGGATTATGATTAGGATTAGGTTTTTAGAGTGACTGGAAAGATGTGGGCTCCATATTTCCCTCTTGTTCAGAATAAATCAGGAAATCATTATAGGACTGTATGCTGTATGTAAGTCAAGTCATGTGAGGATATTCACTATTTTTATGATAATGGAAGTTCACTACGATAAAGTGTTTTATCACAATGCGTGATAATATCTTATATTGGCCCATCCCTATTTGTGATGTAGTAAAACAGCATGTATTTAATGTAGCATGAGTATAGTATCAACAAGTGCTGCCACATCCTTGATTTGAGACGGTTTGTCAAAGGATTCATTAACCCTTGTGTTTGAATGGCAGAACAATTTTCTAGAAAGCCAAGTTATGTAGTAGTTAAGCTTTCTTTAGCTGTTACAGAGCAGAGGTCGACTATAATTCTGATGATTGGTGGAAAAAGAATCTGCATGGTTATTTGTAGGTTAACTAAATTGACATCAGCGCACTGAGAACACTCTACCTGGTAGCCACTGGGTGCTAATCAAAGTTACACAACAGTGCCAAGAAATTCCTTTTATTCAACCATTTATTTTTCACACATAGCAACATATTGTTACCTTCAGGGCAGTTAAACTACTGTAAATGAATGATACACTGATCAATCACTTGTAGCCCAAGTGTATGTGTATAGTTTGTTGCAGGGTTCAACTGTGTCTGCAAAAACCTAAATCATTAATATAGCTCTGCAGCCATGAGAAAGTCCAAAAATAACAAAATGGAGCAAATTGTTTTGGAGAAAATGTAGTTGTCCCAGATGTTTTTTTTAACATACAACTTTATAATCAGGTTACTATACAAACTGTAATAGGTGTTTCAGACCCCTACTTTTATTTTTGTTAAATGTTGATGGACCAGCTGGCAGTTGACATTACAGGTAATAGTAAAGAGAAAATCATAGAGAATCACATGTTCAGTGTTTCATTCAATAATTGCTTCCAGAGGTCACTCAGAAACTACACAGTTAAATCAATACTATTGATTTCTGAAATATGTAGAAGCAGCTCTTAAACCAAGAAATCCAAAGAAATCCAGATTTGCCCCGTCTGTCCCATCAGTATAACATGAGGTTTTCTTCTCAATCTCTTCCTTTGTGTCATTGACAGCAGGAACTAACAAACCCTTACTGAAGCAAATGAGACTTCCACAAAAAGATGCACATAGTATCTAGGCCTGAAGATGTCCTGGAAATATCCTGGAAAATTATTATATAAAAACAGTGGGGAAACATCTCGAAGCCCTTAAGGAATAGTTTAGTTTGTTTCTAACAGTTGGAACTATGAAATAAGACTTTTTTCTTCTCTTGGGTGGAAATCGTGCTACAAAACAGAAGAAGTCAAAGGGCTGCCTGCAGAAAACCCTGCTAGAATTGCCGAGGTAAGAGTGAGACTATGACTCCAGTTTTTTGATGCAGTTCTACCCGTTTGCTTACACAGATAATAATATTAATTGGTTTCATACAGGATGGTGCCCTACAAATCTTTAATATCCACTCCAACTGACTACCAGTCCTTTTTGGCGAGGCTCACTGAGGCCTTCAAGGATGTTCCCGAAGACGAGAAGCCTCTGATAACCAAAATGGGCCTCACTGCGGATATGGAATTAGTGGACTGTGCTTTTGGTAAAGTCCCTAAAGGTTCTCCACTGTCCTACCAGTACCCATTGCCATCAAGTCAGGATTACATGACTAATGACAATGCTCCCCCTCGACCGCTGCTTCCCCTGTCTTATCACACACTGGAGCCAGTATTGGCTCTTCCTACGCTGAGTGCCAGGGAGCAGGAGCACGTGGACGTCATGCAGATCACCTGGGAGGAAGCGCACAGTCTGGAGCAATCCACACGGGGAGGCAAGGAGCCGGTAGAGGAGCTGCAGAAGCCGCGTTTGACCAGTCGTTTCAGAGAGATCTGCACACTCAAACCAGGACGGAGCCATGCGGAGCACCTGGTATACAAGTTACATAAAGGACCACCGCGGTGCAAGTCGGCACAGATAGAGGAGGCAATGAAGAATGAAGCACTTCGGGTATACTGTCGGAATCTGTGTGTCAACTGGTACCCCTGCGGTTTCATTGTCCATCCACACGCTCCATGGTTGGGGGTGCAGCCTGACGGTTTGGTGTACGACCCCAATGAAAAAAAGTCCAGTTTCGGGCTGGTGCATGTCAAATGCATCAGCTCCCAGAGCTTCGTTGACTGCGGGTTCCTGGTCGTCCAGGACGGAGTCTTGGAAGTGAAGAAGAACCACACAAATTATTGGCAGATCCAAGTAGAGATGATGGTAGCAGGCACGTCGTGGTGTGATCTGTTGGTGCTCTCCAGAGAAGACATACTAGTTCAACGCATCTACAGAGACAAGGTTATCAGCAACAGCATGAAGAAGAAGTTGGACGAATTCTTTTTCTATTACTACTTGCCAAGTCTGTTTTAAAGCTGATGGCTTGTGGCATCATCACACTGCTGTCGTACTCTACATGCTGTCGTACTCTACATGCTGTCGTACTCTACAAGCTGTCGTACTCTACATGCTGTCGTACTCTACAAGCTGTCGTACTCTACATGCTGTCGTACTCTACATGCTGTCGTACCCTACATGCTGTCGTACCCTACATGCTGTCGTACCCTACATGCTGTCGTGCGCTACATGCTGTCGTGTGCTACATGCTGTTATCCCCTCAGGTGGTTGGTTGTGAGTTTTAACAGACTGCAAATTACTTGAATGGGAATTTTCTGACCACTAATGTTATACTGGCATTACTAAATGTGTAATTAATATATTATCAGTTTCAGTCAATCATTCTCGTTAAAAGAAAGTTCATGTTTTTTGGTAATGGGTATTTATTTTTCTTATTTTAAAATGTGCAAAACTTTCCATGTTTACCCATCTTACATCTCCAAAGGTGTCCTGTTCTAGGGCTGCACCTGCTTCAATTACTAGTTACTATTAATGAATCTGCTGATCATTTACTCGATTATTCGATTAATTGTTTAGTGTAGGAAATAGCAAAAAGTATCTACCTCAATTTCCCTGAGCTGATGCTCTCATTGGTTATTCCTGAATGTATTCAATTTACTGTCATACAAGAGTAAGAAAACCAGCTATTATACACATTTGAGAAGCTGGAACGGGAATATTTTATGTTTTTCCTAAAAAAAGATATGACATGTAGGATTGATTACTGAAATGGTGGCTGATTAATTTTCTGTAGATCAGTTAATTGTCTCAGCGTTCTTTCTCATGTTGTTTGGGTTCAATCAAGTTTTTAATCACAGTATGCTTTATGCATTACAGATTCCGAGGTTGACACAAAAGGGGGGTTCGATTTCCAAAGCACAATACATAGTAAATGTTACTGCACTGCTTAAACTGAACACGACTTTAAGCAGAAGATTTGAATGTTCAAAATAAATACTTTTACATAAAACCTAAACAATTCTCTGTTTAACTGCTTTCACCTCTTGTGTGTCCTTTCACTGCAACGCTCATTCAGCTCTCATAACTCCCACAACGACCACTGTTCATACACCGCAAACAAACACTGCAACTAACATAATCTTCCAGTTAATTTGCTTCCAGGACTTCCATTTCCAAGACAGTTACTAGTCAATTTCTGACCTTCGCTTTACATTTCTACTCCTTTCAGTGAAACCTGGAGCTTAATTTCCTTTTTAAATTGTTTCAGTATTTGTATTTCAACTTCAGCTGTTTCAGTTCTCCTGTGTGTTACATGCTAAATGGACTTGCTAAGTGTTTTTTCGGGTTTACCGACCACTGAAAGCACTTTACAACACTTCACAAACTGATGGCAGAGCCTGCCATGCTAGGTACCGACTGCTCATCAGGAGTGATACAGTGCTTCCTCTCTAAAGTGCTCACAATGACACAAAGCTCACCCATACACACAAATATTGACAGCACACCCATTGGGAGTAATGTCGGGCTCAGTATCTTATCCAAGGTCATTTCAGCTGGACTGAGGGAGCTGGGAATTAAACCAACGCTGTAAACATAAGTATATAAAAGAGCACAGTTTTAAAGGTTGCTACAAATTTGAACTTTCAATTCACTACCAAAGCAGAAAAAGTGCTAAATCAAGTGATTGAAGTTATGAAACAGCATTACCTTCAGCAGAAGGTTTGAATGTTCAAATATAAAACTTATATTTCACCAAATGCAGCCTGTGTTAGTACTCAAGTGGTCTCTAGCCTTAACCCTGGTGTTGGGGTTCCTGTAGACCTCCACCTCTCTTAAACAGCTAAAAAGAAAATGATCACTGTTTAAATCAGCATGATAGTTCATCACTTTTTCATTTTCAATTTAATTTTTTTCAAGAATATATGTATATTTATATACATACATATTGTATAACGTATTTCACAGGTATTTTTCACATGTTCACATGTTCACATCACAGTGATGTTTACAAATTGCTTGTTTTATTTGACCAACAGTTCAGTTTTAGTTTATCATAAATGATGAAGAACCATGTTTAAGATGTTGGAACCAGTGAATGTGTGTCATTTCTACCTGAGAAATGACTGTAATGATAATCAGTTTCCAATGTAGTTGCTGATCTATTTGGTAATTTAATTAACTGATTGCAGATCTAATGTATTTGTCGATGCATAACCCATAAAACATGAACTATTTCCATGTTTAGTGTAATAAAAAAACAATTATTATATATCACCACCATCAGAAATATTTGGCTGATTTAGCAGTTAACACACAGCACTGCTGACTATGACCCCCCCCCCAAACAATGAGGTAGTCATGTGAACAGACCACAAGGGTTAACTCCCCCTCTGCTCCTGTAGGGGGCGCTGTGGTCACTCACCGTCTCAGATTAACGGGATCTCTTTGGGTTAATATCTGATGACGTTGAGAAAAAACACCACACTTTCCATCAGAAACGCTTTGTCATGTTTCACACTTAAACCCCCGTGTGTGTGTGACAACAACTATTAGTCAGCAGGACGCAGTTTCTGTCCCGTTGCGGCTGTTTGAAGATCAACCGGATGCAGTTGTTTTGAAATTACTGAGGTCCCTGTTTTCTCTCTCTCTCACACACACACTTACACTCTTGCTCCTCGTCTGGTCGTACTCGTGTCCCCGCTTTCCTAACACCTTAGTGTTGTTGTTGTTGTTGTTGTTTTTGTTGTGATAATGGGTGTTAATAAAACATACATTAGTATCGGGTATGCCTCGTGCGGTGTGCTCATGGGCTTCTCCGCTTTCCTGGTGTGGAACATCGCGTTCAAACAGCAGTGGACTGCAGCCATGGGAGGACTGTCAGGTAGAGTAAACACTGTCTGCAACTGTTTGCTTCTTCCCTTTGTGCTACATGTGTTTTTATTTTATCTTGCACGCACATAGGGATATATAAATAGAAGGTAATGAATAAACAAGAGATAGTAAACAAGTGCAGTTTTTATTCCAGCCTTCAGTAACACCGGTGACCCTCTCCTCAGGCTGAAGGTGCCCCAGTTGCAAAATGAGCCTATAGTTAGACAGAGATCACAGTTCAAGCTTGTTTTCTAAGTGCAGACAGGGCAGACATGGGTCAGCGGTGTCATGCAATCATATTATTGTTATTTTTGATATTGGGACAATATATCCTGCACCAGGTTAAACTGACAGGTTTTTAATGTCCACTTTTAACATTAATGACCAAATGCTACTTTAGGAGTCACGGAAAACTGTTGTGACTACTAGTAATTATTGGAGATAATAAGTATTGTTCAGACATTTATATATGTTGTTTTTTTGTATAATATTAATAGAAAATAAATGAATAAAAACTATTGTTTACTTGGAACGCACAAACACACAAAACAAATGTTTGGTATGAATGTAGAGTAAATGTTTATGCAGTAAAATGACAATATCATGATCTTCAGAGGCTGGACTTATTTGGAGTAAGTGTGGTTGTGAGTTTTAATACAGATTTGGAAGTACTTGGGCGCAGCTTTGTGAATTTATAAAAGACAATGTTAGATCCCGTTCTAACAAAAAAGATGGTTCAAGCACAGTTATGCAATGAGCTGTATTATGTTAGTGGATCTGACCTTTGAGCAAGTCCAACCTCTGCACTCATCCGTTCACAGGATGTTCTGAGTTGAACATACATAGTGCCAAAGATCGAGCTGACTCGCCTGGAGTTGTGATTTTATTAAAGATGAGGACAAAGATCATAACTGTTGAATTATATTATTGTTATTAAGATTAGTGACTTGCATGCGTTAAGTTAAGACTGACACCAGTATGAAATATGACTGGTAACCGATAAGTGGACACACTTGCTGAGTCTGCATTTTCACTTTAAAAATATTTTTTTTTCCCCAACAAGAAACGGCACATAATGCACGAGCCTGTCAAACATTCAACAATGTGCACACTGATCTTCACAGAAGTACAAGCTGCTGTCAGATCACCACAGTTCAGTTCCTCCTGTTACTGTTTCAGACTCAGTGAGGGTTGTTACTGCTTGATGAACAGTTAACTCTTAACATGTGGCAGAGATTCAAAACACTGCGGATGTAGGGAAAAAAAGGGGAACGTGAAGAAAGAAGTGTGATTCATTGACACAGCAACTCATCGGCAAAATGCTATGTCATGATGTGCCTGCCACTTAAAATGCAGACTCATCCATCATACCACCATAAGTTCATGACCACCAAAACTCAGTGGCTGCTACTTGTGATCAGTTAATGTCAGTGTGTTGTCTTTAACGGCTCATTTTACGCTTTACAGCATATCATCAGACTTTAGAGGCTGCTCCTGGTTTCTCTTCATTTTAGTAATGTATGAGATATAAAACGTTCTCCAAGTAATTCATCAACAGAGAGCAATTTTGAAAACCTTTCCTTGTTGGTGCATTCAAGGAAACTACGACATCGAGGCTTCCAATGTCAGTTGCTGAAAATCAAGCTTTTTAAAGAAAGAAACATTCACATTGTTTTCATGACGTCCATGTCTGCTCATTATTTGTCTCTAGGGTTTGTTATAAAATAGAGGAAAGAAAGCAGCGTTTGAATGCAGTATTTCAGTAGTACTTTCAGGCCCTTATTGCAACTGCAGAAAAAAGTTTTAACATTTCGGGCAGTTGGTTTTTTACATAACTAACTTCACTAACAATGTTTGTATCAGTTTGTATTTAGGCTATTAGGTGAAAACATTTGTATCTAAAAAGTGATTTTACTTTGTCCCTTAGGCGTGCTGGCACTTTGGACCCTGATTACTCACATCATGTACCTGCAGGACTACTGGAGGACCTGGCTGAAGGGCCTTAAGTTCTTCTTGTTTATTGGTGTCTTCTTCTCTCTGTTGGCAGTTGTGGCCTTCATCACTTTCATGTCTATTGCCATCAAAAACAAGGAGTGTAAGTTCTTTATCGCTTTGCTCTTTCACATAACTTGTTGTGTACTGTTCTTTACCAGGTGTGTTTATGTACTGTGTTATAATCAGACCTTTTTGTCATCACACTGAACACACACATATAACTAACTGTCCCAACATTCAAAATTAGTTTTATTGGAGACCCACAGTGTCTGATTGTTTATTTTTACAGCAACGCACGCAGTACTGTTAAAGTCTCAAAGGCTGGATAAAAACTGGATGAATCAGGATACACGATAAGACCCAATAAGTCACATGAGTGGTTGGAGAGTCGTGGTGGAGTTGCACCTTAATCTGCCTCTTTTAGATCCACTTAATGTACAGATTTCTTACATTTCCCAGAATGCCCTTTGACAACCCGTGACGAAATTGGTGTGAGAAAATGTAAGAAAATGTCAGAAAGTGTGAATCCTCTTATACAAAATGTCCAAAGACAAGACTTAACTTAAGAATAAAAACAATTTAGGTAATTTCTTACAAGTAAAAAAATATATTATTTATATATATTAATATAATTTATTATTATATTTAATCACACACCTTCTCAGACATGTTCTGGAGTTTTTGTACAAAATTATAATAATAATCGTATATAATAGAAGTATAATAATTATGCTCATATATGTATAATTTAGAAATAGGGTCTAACCTTTTATTTGCATTTGATTTGACCATTTATAAGGTGTTAAATTGAGAACAGCGCAACATTTCTTTTTCACTATCCATATATTTTTATTGTCTGCACTTGTCAATATGGTACTAAATTATCTTTTACCTTGTTTACCAGCAGCAGAATTTCCTTCCTGCTTTGTTAGTTTGGTTTTAATCAGATTTTTTGTTTCCATTTCTGCCAATTTATTTTATCTGTATTTATTCATCCCAATTTATACATACATAATTATTGTTAATTTCACATGTTAATTGCTACTGGGGATATTAAAGATATCACACAAACACATTAACTTTAGAAATAATAAAATGACATGTAACATTTAGTAACATTTAAAATTGCAAATGTAGGGTAAA